CGGCAAAGCCTCATTCTAACTCCAATAGCCAGAGCCAGTGAGTCGGGAACGTCACGGTACCACCACGTTAGAAACAAATTAACCGCAGTTCACGGTGTGCTGTCAACAAGAAGGCGGCAACTGATTGTGTGTAAAAGCCCCCCTGACCTTTCTCTGTGGCACCCTCCTTTCCCCTCCTTGCTGCAGCCCTAATCATAGAAGCGCTGCTTGTCATCTGAGCCCCTTGTCCGGCTGCTTTCTGCGTGGAACTGCTCACAGGGGACAAAACAAAGTCAGATACCAAAATTAGTTCAGTGTACAGTGCATGCTTTATAGCAGCAATTTAGAGTCTGGAAAAAACACTAGTTTGCTGTTTTAATGCCTCAGTATTTACGTTTTTGTTGAATAATCCAATTATAACCATTTAACATCTAGAATTTGGATGATTTTCTTTCATATATACATGACTCTCACAGCAGAGGCCAACTGTGAGGTAGCATGTCATCAGACTCATCACGAGTCTTTAATTAAATGTCACATTTTCCCCATTTCTTATTTGTATTAGGATTAATGCATTAGTGTGAATACCCAGAGACATCCCCGGCGGTGGGCTCACACTGGGACCCCATTTCACAGCAGCAGCACACAAAGGCAGAATTCCCATTTTCATCTCACACTTGTATCGGCACAAATCTCATGCAGCTCGCAATGTCTATAATTGAATGTTTTATCAGAGGAATTTTGCACAGGAACAGATTGATTAGTATTCTCAGCGCTGCTCTGCATTGTGCTGCCACCCAGCGTGACTGTCTCTGCCGATGGGTGTGTGAGAGAGTAATCCCGTGGCTCCGATGAGTGTTTTCATGTGGCTGACTTTACAGAGTGTAGACTGACAGCGTGCAAGCTGGATCTTCTTTAAATTTGTAGGCATTGTGGAGCTAAAAAGCTTTTGTTCATTTTGGTGTTTGATAGTGAATTTGTTCATTTCCATGTCTGCAAACAGCAAATCTTAATCATGGCACAAGATGCTAATACTTAAAAGGTACTGTAAGTATTTTTGATAACATTAATAACATTTATTACATATAACGTATGTAACATATAGCATATATTTAATAACACAGAAGATAAAAACATAAAAACCTGTGTGGACAAAAAATGCCTTAAAACGAAACAAAGCAAAACAAAACACCAATTAAGTGTTGGCCTTTGTGAATAGTTCGTGCACAGATGTAATTATTCTCAAGTCAGCAGGCAGCTGGTCCAAAATAACAGAACCACAGTAACTGAATGCTCAGCTTATTGTCAGCAGATTAGACACATGACTCTATCGTCTCTGGACAGCTGACAATTAACTGGCTAAACAATAATAACAGCTAGTTACAAGTTAAGGTAATTATTAGGCTTGGATGTCCTAAAAATAGCCCTTTCCTTCTAAAAAAAACCCTCCATTTGATTACATTTTCACATGACAGTTTTTTCAATTAGTCCAACAATGTTCGCTCTGCTTCAAAGAACTTTTCATCAATGTCAGCTAACAGCAGCGAACAGAGGCTAACAGCAACACACAGAGGCTAACAGCAGCTAACAGAGGCTAACAGAGGCTAACTGCTTTGCTTGCTGATAGAAAGGTTTAGCACATCCTCAACAACTCATTCAGTATCATTGTCATCAGAAGTGAGCTTCACAGACCCATCAACTTGTATTGGACTCTTTACAGCCTCCTAAATATGCAGATGTGAACATCCAGATACTGTCCACATCTGTATATTTAGGCTGAGGTAAACAGCGGACTGATAGATAAACATTAACCATCCAACATATTATTTATATGTATTTGATATTTATGTGTTAAGTTGATGAATATTGGACCATTTCATTATGCTGTATTGGAGTAGATTTGAAACTAGAAACAAAATCACCAGAGGAAAGAGTCGTCCCATCCTGATCATTAGGAAGACTACAGGTTTAATGTGTCTCCACATTTGCTTGAACAAGATTAAGACGTGTGACCCAACAAGGCACCTTTTCTTCTAGATTTTAACGGACAGCAGAAAAAGAAAAAATGCAGAATATTAACTCCACGCTTAGATTTGATCATTTTATTGTTTCAATGTTCATTTTTTTAAACAGAAAACCTTTAGGCCCTGTGATAGACTGATGGCCCATCCAAGGTGTATCTATGCAACAACGGCTGGGACAGACTTCGGCTCCCTCATGACCCTGAACTGGGTGAATGGTTATGAAAACGGATGGATACGTATTTCACTCTGTATCTGTCATATATTTAGTGTCACTGTGATGAAGAGGTTAGTGCTGTCACTTCATAGTAAAAAGTTCTTGGGTTTGAACTTGTGGCATCTTTTGTTCACGTCACGCTTGGTGGATTTTCTCCGGGTTCTCAGATTTCCTCAAACAGTCTAAAGACTACGTGTCAGGTTACCTGGTGAAGTTGCATCTTTAGGTTCAGATGTTCCAGCCTATTGTCCATGTGTACAACTACATATTAAAATATTTGTATTAAATGAATCTGTACCCTGCTGTGATTTGCGCATAAGACTTAATTGCAGGACACAGATTGAAGAAATGTAATAATTTTAATGAACAACAACTGGTAAGTATTCACAATATAACTGAGAATCAAACTCAAGTTACACTCAAGAAAGGATTTGGTCCAGTTGTCAAAGTTTCTTTGTACTAATTTTTTTCTCCAATTCTGTCAGTTTCACATTCAGGTAAGTTGATTCTGATTTTCAGAATCTCCAATGCAGGTGAATATCCATTGCTTTCCATAGGGTCAGGTAAGTATTCTTGAGTGCGGTGAGAGTGGCGCTTGTAGGTATGACCAGAAGCTAGCCAGGCTGATGGACCAGGAAGGATTCTACAGGTAAGGTTGGCATGTAAACAAAAAATCATTAAATACCAAAGAAGACTGAGTGATGCTACCACACTGGGAAGCTCAACAATCTGATGAATGGCGAGTGGCGGGTTATAAACTGTATACTGTGTATTTTTGCCCTGTCTCATTGCCCTCACCCCCAGCCAGTCTGAGTTTTGGGAGTTTTTATTTCCTACTTTTGCCAAATGCTTGCTCATAGATGATTGTTGGGGGTTTTTCTCTATAAGGGTTGTAGGGCATTTACTTTGCAATCTGGAATTTGGTACAATATAAATGAAATTGAATTGAATTAATGATAAGTGTCGATGATAAATGGGTGCGCCAGGAGCCCTGGGCAGCCACATCTTCAGCTAAAGGGAGGTAAGCTGAAAAAGTCACACACAATTACTTGGGGAACCATGACAACCCCATATACACAATTTTGACCTTTTTTAAAGGTTTAATTTTTTAAAAGCTGCACAATTATAGAGGTACAGAACTGGTCTCTGGAATGCACAAAGCAAAAAGCTACAAATAGCTGCCGTTGTGCACTGTCAAATGCACAAAGGCAGTGCCTTGGAGTTCACTCTCCCATTCACTTTTGGTTGTGCCCCCTACAGATACATTAAAGTACCTTTTTTTGTGTGTATCCCAATATAATCTACAGCTTGTATGAAAACAGTTTAATATTTATGTTACTTTTCAAATGCAGAAAACTTTAGAGAGTGATTACACACACATCTGTGATGGAAAAGCAAACAAAGTAACCCATTTAATGATTTTTGTGAGGGTCCTGATGTCCGCCTTTATGCCACTGAGGAGATACGGCCTTCACTTCAGGTCCCTCAGCAGCAGAGGTTTGTGGATCGAAATTATATCAATAGTATCAAGGCTCGTATTGGTATCAGATCAATGCTACAATGATAAGTTTGATACTTTTTATTCTCTAACTTCAGTATGAATCCCAGTGAATTGCATTAACTAAAATATTATTATTTTCGGAGAAGGAATGAAAAAATATTCCTCAAACACACACTAGTTTCTAAAGACATTAAAATCTAAAAGGTTTTGCTATGTTAAGTACTGTGACAAGTGAAAATCACAGTGATTAAAATGTGTTTTGCAAACTGATGACGATTCATCTCATAAATCATGACACACTGCTCTCCACTATGTTAACCTAATTAGGTTAAATAGGTTAAAAGTACTGGTATCGTTGTATTGATGCCAAAATGTGCAGTACTGCACAGCACTACTCAGCAGCTTTATGATCAAAAGGCTCAGAACCGAGCAGTTCCCCGTGAATTCCCCTAGAGAGCAGCAAAGGACACTAAATAAACCATCCCTTCAGGCACCGTGAGGATGTATCAAGGATGGTCCTCACACTAATTCTCCAATAGTTCCAGTTGCGGTCGAGTTTTCGCCTTACACGGATCGCAAATCAATATCTTTTTGTCCTCGTCGATTCGCCAGCTCGTTTCATACTTTTACGTCAGTCCACAAATAAAAAGCAGAGTGCAGAATATCTGTGGGCAGACTGGCTTGTAAAATGAGTGGCCCTGAAAATGGTACACTGCTCCAGCCTTTTGCCTTCACTGCGGCTTCTTCACACCAGCACAATCAAACTTTATAGGCTGTGCCTCGTAGCGGTGGGTATTTGCAGAGGCTGACCCTGCTGCCGAAGCAGGAAACTTTCGTGGTGTTTCTGAAACTACACTGTGGGGTGTTCCACTGATGTCTTCTGTCTGTCTGTCACATTATACCTCCCTAAACAAACTACTTCCTACATCATGATCAGGATCAGATATTAAGTAATTTGTCTTTCCGGCAATAACGAAGAGGACAGTGGCCGACACAGCAGCCAAACAGAAACCAAAACAAAACCTGCTCCTAACAGGTGTATCGACGGCAGCGTTGGAGCTTAATAGCCAATCAGGAGAGGCGATAAGTAGTGTGGGCGGATTTCCAAAAAAAAAAAAAAGTATTAAACGCTCCAAATCTTTTGGATGGGACTTAATAGGGCGAAGGATGTGTCGGTCATACCAAAGGAGGCGTGTTCAGACGCCCGACACGCACACGCGCGCGC